GTATATTAATTCAATTACATACTGACTTGAAATGTGTTGATGCATGTTGTTACATATGTCTTTATCTATATGTCTTTTCTTGCTGGTAGAAATCTTGATTTGAAGAAGTATATAACCAAACTGAATTTCTGTTCCCCTTACATGACATAATGACAGATATCTCTGTTATTTTCACTTCTGCACAGTGTTCTTTTAAAAGACTAAGGCTTGTTACCCTGACTTGTGTTATCCCAGCCCTACAGCTGCCACTGACCCACCGTTAAGGTTTCTTTACAATACAATATTACAAAACTAAAGATACATTTCCCAGCAGTAGTACCCACCAGAGGTGACTGAGAATGTGAAAAAATAGACTTTTTAAAATTGTAATTAGTGAAAAGGTAGCTTTGAGTCTAGCCAGTAGTAGGTAAAGGCCACTAATTTGTGTTTTGCATAAGCATCCCAGTGATATACATTAATTGTAATATGTAAAGGTTTATTCCATGCTGAAAAGAGAAGAAAGGAAACACAACGTTTCGGCTGTGGAGCCTTCTTCAGGTGTGAGGAATAAACCTTTACTTGTTCCTTTGCAGCCTACGCATGCTGACGCAGGTGCCTACTTGAACTTATTGAAATGTCATGTCTATTTTAATCTTTTTATGTGAATGCAGTGTTGTGTTTTGTATTGTACATCATGCTATTTGTATCCTACTAAAGAGTATTTGGACCAGTCTGTGACTGTTACTAACTGGTGTAGAATATTCAAAGGAACAAAGTCAAGGTTTATTCCATGCTGAAAAGAGAAGAAAAGAAACACAATGTTTCAGCTGTTGAGCTTTCTTCAGGTGTCACCTGAAAGCCAAACATTATGTTTCTTTTCTTCTCTTTTCAGCATGGAATAAACTTTTAAGTTTGTGAGTGTCTCTGTGTTTGTGTTTGTGTGACTGCCCTGTGATTGACTGGCAGTCCAGGGTGTACTCTGTCTTGTACCCATTGCTTGCCAGGACAGGACACCTGCCTAACAGGCAGCCCCCAGTCAGACCTTCCCTCAGTCCTAGAGAAGCCCACCACATCTCAACTCCCTTTCAAGCCACTAGACTCCACAGCTGTGTTCATGGCCTTAAAGACTGCTTTACTGCAGTTATCACAACCTCTCAAGTGAGTGAATTTCAAACCCTGATGGTAGGAGAACACATGTCCACATGTCCCTCCACCTCTGTCTCTAAATAGGAAAACTATCCTCACATTCCATAGGCCAGAAGACACAAATCTAGACCAGTCCCTGCGTATTCATCACGTCTGGAGGTAAAATTTAAAACACCTTGCACACTGGATCATGGATGCCATTTGCCAAGGTACAAGGTGTCACATCTCTGCCCTTCAGACTTTGCCATGGCAACATCTTCACAGAGATCTGCATGCAACTAAGTAGTCCTCTCCATCCTCATTCACCAGATTGCACAACCCAAATTTACTAGATTGCACATTATACGTTATAAGAAGATAACCCACCTTCTAAAGAACTCCGTCTAATGACTAATACAGCCAGTAGCCTGCTCAAGATTGCTTTGATATTTCATCTCCGTTTGCTATGATTGCCTTTTGTATCGAAAGGGTACACTGGGAATGGAATGTCTCAACCTCAGCACCCTAAAATGGAATCAGTAAAACTTTGCAAATCAGTCGCCCTGCCTGCCTTTCAGTAAAGCCATCGCAACTTCAGAAGAAAGAGTTCTGTTTGGGATGATGTGACTGGATCCCCATGGGATTAAGGTAGTTAAAGATCTCAGTATGACATCAGAAACAAGCCACATCCCCATTGGTAATGATTGCATTCCTTTCAGGTAATTGACACTGTCAATTGACACAATTGAGACATCCCAATGTTTAACAAGATGAATGAGACCCTCAGGTTAAAGGCAAAGAACTCTCAAATAAGAAAATGTAGAAATAGTCAGAAATTAAGAGAAGTAATTAAAATTAAAGTATGATAAGTATTTTGATTATTTTCTTTAAAATTATTAAATAAAATCAATAACAAAAATTAACCATGGCCACAGTATATGATTCAATGTCAACATTCAGACTAAAACATCTATGTAGCTAAATCCTGTCATAATTTTCAAATAATATAGACAGGAGGTTTGCAAATTCAAACCGAATGGAGTTAGTGAGTTTTGGAGGGCAAGATAATTTCCCAGCTATTACACCTCCAGGAATGAAAGCTGTTTGCTCTGCTTTAGGGAGAAAAAGTTTGAGTGATAATGTTATTGCAAACAATGATTTGATCGTTTACTCCAAGGTATTCCAGACATTTGCTAGTGTTTAGCAGTAACATATGCAGTTATAAGAACCATATATATTTAACAGTCATCCTCATTAAAGATTTGTGTTTGGTAGACAGAAGTGCAC